GGAATCAGCAGTTGACCTAAAAACTGGGTTCATTACTTCCATAATTAGATGGATTTCTTAAATTAGCTGGTGTTCAGGAACAGGATAAACCTCCCTATGGAGCCAGGAGAGGAGAAGCTCCAGGGAGAGCTCAGAGCCCCTTGCAGGGCCTGAAGGGGCTCCAGGAGAGCTGGAGAGGGACTGGGGACAGGGGATGGAGGGACAGGACCCAGGGAATGGCTCCCAGGGCTGGATGGGATTTGGGGCAGGAATTGTTCCCTGGGAGGGTGGGAAGGGGCTGGGATGGAATTCCCAGAGCAGCTGGGGCTGCTCCTGGCAGTGCCCAAGGCCAGGTTGGACACTGGGGCTGGAGCAGCCTGGGACAGTGGGAGGTGTCCCCATGGCAGGGTGGGAATGGGACGGGATTTAAGGTTCCTTACACCCCAAACCAGTCTGGAATTCCGGATTCTCAGGTGCCCTAGAGCAGGACATAAAGAGAAGGTGTTTGAGCAATCACTGTGGAGGCTCCAGTGTAATTCCAGTTTATTTTCCTTTGACATGGGGAGCAGAACAAACTTCCCAGACTGGTGAGGACTCACTAGGGATGAAAATTCCTCTCCTTGCTGGGGGTTCAGGAAATGCTGCACAAAACACCCTCAAAACCCTTCGTAGCACCTCCCTCCACATTTGTCAGAAAGAGAAAACAAGATTCAAGGATGACACCTTTGCTCTCCAAATAGAGATTTTTATATAAACACGAGTAAAATTCAATTATCTAAAGTGTCAATAGCCACTATTCAAAACAAATATTTGAAATTGATAAAAATTTTAGAATTTTTAATTGATAAATTGATAATTTATAAAATTTAGAATTTTATATTAAATCAAACCTACACAGCAACTTAACTCATCCTTTTTTCAATATTGAGAACTTTTAAGCCTGCTAAAAGTTCAAATCCTTGCAATTTCTGGGGCAAGAATTATTTTTAAAGCCTGCTTTAAATTTTCACAGAACAAGTAAAATATTTCAAGTATTATTTCATCCTTTGTGCATATATAACAGCACATGTTATCCACCCTTCTGAAATTCATTGCATAATTAGAAATTCAAATTAAAGCCAGCGAGTTCTCAGTGGAAAGAGCACAAATAAGAAAACTGAAAGAAAACCACCATCAAAACGAGAAATCCATAAACATTTGATAAATTTGGCAGTTGAAAAGAAGCCCCAATAAAAGGAAATTTTTCATACTTGTTGCCACCTGCCTGCCCGACTGCTTTGCATAGCTAGAAAAGAGCAAAATAGAGGCCAACCTATTTAACTAAACAGTTTTTATTAAAGAAAAAGAAAAGCAAGAAACTATAAAGTAGCAAGTGATCCTATTAGTTCCACCAGACTAAAATCATACAGTCTACGTATGTGGTCCTTTCAGCCACATCTGTTATGAGCCATTTTGATACCCAAAAGCAGAGAATATTTGCCTATATTTATCAGGCACTGAGTGCAAATCAGGCTTTTTCTCCTCAATAACTTCTGGTAGAATGGGTAGATTTAAAAAAAAAAAGCAATCAGAATGATAAAACATTTGTATTTACCCCAGTTAAGGCCGAAGTACTCATTGCATTCCATGGTTTTCTCTTTGAGGAATACGTAAAATGCAATAAAGATGCAGGGTGCAAAATTAAAGGCAGCGATCTGATAGCATAATTCAAAGATAATGAGTCAAATATCCAATATCCAGAATTGGATCTGATAAATGGTGAATGTTTGGGATTTGTATTCCCCCATTTTCATCACCTCACATTCAGTGCCTCGGTCCCGAAGTTTCCTTTAAATAAACTCCGGCGAATTCTTTGCACGGAACGCCCTATTCTTGACTGCTCTTTCAGCCAGAGATTGAAATGCAGATCCCAAAAATAGATCAGTCACTTATTTCAACTCTAGACCTTTGAAAATCCAGATCAATTGCCTTTTGTCATCGTCTTTATATGGAGAGTAAGTAATTTCTGCTTAGCACCATGGAAAAGCTCCCGGAGCCCTTTGGAAGAGGCAGCAGTATCGATAGTTTGAAACATCCGTGTGCTATTTCATAGGAATTTATTGACATTTTGGGAATATTCATCCATATTTTAACCTTTCTGAGAAAGCACAGGTGCCAGATAATTTACAGCACATATTAAGCAGCTTTTGGGTTCTGAGGTTTGCCCTAAGCTTGGGATTTAAGGTTTGGAACGGCGCAAACTTCTCCCTAAAATCAACGCCGGGAGCCACATTCAACACAAACCCCCAGCTCGGGGTCTTCTCCGTCCCTGGGTAATGAAGTCTGGGAAAGGAATCACAGACACCCAAGTGGTTTGGCAACTGTAAGTGACAGAAGCTGAGCTAAATCCTCTGTTTACACTGGGGATTATCCGGGTGGATTGTGCGGCGCTCCCGGAGCCGGCGCTGGTCAGGGGACGCTGCTCCCCGTCCGCCCGTGGGGCAGCGGCACAAAGCCCCGGCCTGGTAGGAAGTGACCCAGAAGGAGATGCCGAGCAAGGATTTACACAAAGCCAGTCTGCCTCAGAAAAACTCCATATGACCATTAACTGGCCGGCAGGGCCTGCCAGGAGGCCTAATTACAGCCCTACAGAGCCCGCTAACAAAAGCTGGAGAGCTTTAGCCCAGGGATGATCTGCTTTATACTGACTTGAGAGAGTCCATATAGAGCGACGAAAAGAAAGAGGTTTAGCTTGGAAATTCTCCCAAGAGACAAAGCATTGTCGCTCAGTCTGGAAGGCCCACATGGAACATACTTCAGATGGGCTTAAACATCCCACCCTCTCCAAATTAACATTCAACTATTGCCTGCTTAACATCTGCTCGGGCACGGCGACTTGTGGGAGGTTGTCAGAGGAGCCTAAAAAGGCTCCCTGGCACCTCAATATTAAGAAATCTAATTCAATAAATCGTTCAAATATGAATTTATTGCTGGGACCAACAACTTCAGAGGAATCAAGGGTTTTATAAATCAAAACTCGGTTGTCTCGAGAATTAAAGTGTTTTGGTACCTCCCAATATTGCCCTGCTTAATGAGAACAAAATACTGACATTAAAAAGAAAAAATATTTAATGAAGTCAGTATGAATGCAGGACTTGGAAAAAAAACCTTCTCAGCACTGTATTACCTACATATAAAAATGGCCATCTTACCCACCTCCCACACAGACACAGGTGAGTATTTTTTATTTTACCTGCTCTCATAATGAGAGACCAGAGTCACAATTCCCATCTCCAAATACACCAGGAAAAAAAGAATCCTCAGTAATAAGAGCCTATTTTACTACTTGCTGATTTCTGCCTTTCAGAGAAAGCAGTCGCTATTTCCTAAAATAATATCTAGGTTAAATCCTAAAAGCAGATTTTCTCAAGATCCTAAATACCTCCACAAGGGAAATTCAGACACAGCAATAAAGACAAGGAATTCAAGAGAAGCTGTGGCTGCCCCTGGATCCCTGGAAGTGCCCAAGGCCTGGAAGGGTTTTGGACAGTGGGAGGTGTCCCTGCCATGGCAGGGGGGCACTGGGTGGGCTTTGAGGTCCCTTCCAGCCCAAACCATTCCAGGATTCCATGATGTCAGCAGGGATGAAGCAGGAAGGGACTGTCCCCAATGTCCTTGCTGGTGGTTTGGAGCCCTTGGTTTGTTTGTCCAAACCATGGAGGAGCAGCGTGTCTTTACCAGCAGATCCATGGATAATCCACTGGGAATACAGCACAGCTTCTCATTCCCCTCAGTGGGACTGGAGCAATCCCTATAAAGAGCACAGATATTCCAGGAGTTCGTTCCCAAGTTTGGGATGGAGCCTGTACAGAGCCCTGAGCACACCAAGGACAGCTCCACTCACCATTACTGAGTACAGAGTTAATTTCAATTATTCAATTAGAACATCACCACAACAGCAATGAACCTGCTGATCCTCAACAAGCTGCTGGGTCATTTATTTATATATAAATTTATGCTCAGCATAAATTCAAGTTTGAAGACTAAAAGGCGCTGATTTTACAAGGAGTAAACACAAAAATATATTGAAACAACATTTATCAACATTCCCAACCTCTTCTCACAGCAATTAAATAAAAATTAAAAGCAATTGACTGAATACAGGACTTGGGGAAGAAGATGGGGGATGATCTCATAAATGCCTGGGATGACCAAGACTTAAATAAAGCCAGGAAAGAACTTAATTCTGTATTTAGGATTGTAAGAGACACAAAGATATTAAATCTCTTCTGTTCCTTATGAACAACTTGCAGCTTCAATCTAAAATCCAGCCCTCAACGGTGGATATTTAAATTTAATAATGTCACAGACCTTTGATAAGCTTTGGAAAATTTTGGAGCCCAGGTCACGATGATATACAACCCCCAGTTATCTTTTGTACATCTCCCAGGTGTGAAATTAAAAAATGAGATGTGATCGATGGCAGCAGAATACACAAATTGTGCTTTTGAGGTCAGGGCTGTCACATCCATTTCATAATTACATGCTTCAAAGATTTATTAAAAGTTCTGGAGAACAAGGAATGTATTGGAAGAGAGACAATGCAAAAGGCTGGATGGATTTTGGGAAAAAAAATAAAAAAATACATCAGCAATGTGAGGAGCTTCATCACAACAGAGAGCTTCCAGAGGGGGGAAAAAATAAAATATATATATATATGTACTGATTTAGAACAATGGTAAAAAATAAAGGAAATTGAAAAAAAAAATAAACAAAACCAAATATTTGAGAGCACAGAATGAAGTCTCAGTAGCAGCAGGAGCCAGAGGATAAACATGAGGTCCTAGTGTAAAAAATGGCTTGTTTTTATTTCCTTAAAGGGCTTTACTAAGTGCCAAGGATGATGCAAACCAATTTAATCTTCACCTGAAATTTAAGTGAGCTACGGAGAACGGGATCGGCATCCACCAAACACAAAGGGATAAAATCCCACCTGACAGCACAAAAATGAAGCCAATTTTTGAGGATTCTCATTTACTCACCAGCTGCCTCCAGCACCAGCTGCAGCCTGGCTTTGGCCTGTTCAGCAGGAGTCTGCAAGAGAGGATGGATCAGCTCACACCTGCTTGGACATTGCCCACTCCAGCTCCAACATTCCCACCCTCCGAGAGCTCCCGACTCCGCCAGCGACTCCGTACCCACCAGCCAGAGGGACTCCCACACTGGAATCATATCCAGGGAGGAATTGTCAAAGCAATCATCAGGACTGACCCCAAACGCCGTCCCCACGAGGTGACCGAGCCACACCCAGCTCCTTTCCGACCCCAAACCCCGCCCGGCTCCTGGGTGACCCCGTTCCACACGAAACGCTCCAAAACCGGGTTTAACGTGATTAATACGGTGAGTTTTTCCCACTTTTCCCTCTCCTGAAGGTATTGCTGCACATCTGCTGGCTTGAGGAGCACGGTGCTGGCTGTGGCCCCACTATGCTAATGAGGCCCAGTGATGCTGCACTGTGTCCAATGTGTTTGCCATCCCTCTAAACGTGGAGCCACTCCAACACCGCCGCAGTTGAATTGATACACAAACCCCATTTGTCACGGAGTTCAGAAGTTGATTATTTCTGGAAGCGTCGGAGAAGTTTGGGAGGTTTCCGCTCTGCGCTACAAACAGAACCCGAAGGGAATTTTTGGTGGAGTTTTGAAGCTTAGGGAACTCTTCTCAAGATCCTAAATACCTGCAACGGGGAATTTTAAACAGGAAAATAAAGACAAGGGAAGCTGTGGCTGGCCCTGGACCCCTGGAAGTGTCCAAGGCCAGGCTGGACACCGGGGCTTGGAGCAGCCTGGGATATTGGAAGGTGTCCCTGCCCACAGCTGGGGATGGGATTTAAGATCCCTTCCAACCCAAACCATTCCAGGATTCCATGGTTTTAATTAGGCAGAGCTCTTTGCTGTCAATGTCCCAACTGGTGATGCTCTGCATCTGAGGAGAGGCTGACAATGACACAACAATTCCATTTCTACACACTGCTCCTTCCAATAGGAGAGATGCTGCATTAAAATGCGATTTAAATGAAGATCCAGATTTTGCTTGTATAGAGATCTGTTATTTTGAGTTCAGATTTTTGCTGTTTCCATAAACCCAGAATTACTGGGCAGAATTTATTATTATAGCTGCAGTATGGATCCTGCCATCAGACCTGACCACTAATCCCGGTGGCAGCAAGAAATATATTGAAATTTATCATAAATTATCTTCCCATTTCTTCTTCTTGCCATGAACTAATCATTGCAATCTGTTCTGGCATCTTAAGTATGTCACAGGAGAAAAGGAAAGAGAGGAAGGGAAAGATCTGCTTTTTATCCAGAGCCAACTTGCCCAGTTCAGTTTCACAGAAGCTTTACTTGGGTTTGGTTTTCTCCATTGCATGACAACCGTAAATTTTAAAAAAAACACTCCACCAGGATTAGTTGAATTTGGCAAAATTTTGCAGGACAAGCAGAGAAGGAAAAGTGTTTGGTGTCAAACACCACCTGTGCTCACGTGTGCATGTGAGCAGCCCAAGCCTTTGTGCACCTCATGCATCAGGTGGGCTCTGGCATCTCAAAATACGATTTCCTGTTCCTGCAGCAATTATCCAGAACAGATAATTAACCAAAAACCCCCTGGATCCCTTCTTGCTGGCCACACAACCACCACTGGTGCTGCTCAGCACCCCTAGGGTGGAGAAGGACGTTCTACTGGCAGTTTAAGGATATTTGTGTCAGCACCACCACACCCACAAGAATTCCATGGAAGATCTAATGCCAAGCAGGATCCAGAGGAGAAGGGAAGCAACAGCAGCTGTACAAATGTCACTCCAGCACTAAACACAACTCCACAACCGATCCCGCTGCTCTGAGGAGCTCCAAACACCTTTTCCCACTCCTCTCCATGGAGTTGTGTCTTGGTGTAAGGGAGCGAAGACCCAAATTCCTCTTTGAGTCAGCAATATCCCACTGGGAGCAGCCCAGGCTGTTGCTCTGGAGGCAGCTTCCCCTTTGCCCTCGCCCCAGGTGTTCCACAGGCGTCTTCTCCCCGCCGGAGAACTCGGCACAGCCACCTCGGCATCAATCAATAAGCCCTAACCAAGGAGTGAAAGAATGATTCTGAAATAAAGGTGACTGGCTTGGCCCCAGAAAACATCTCTCCAACTGGTAGATGAGGCCAGCACTCGGAGAAAAAAAAAAAGACAGAGAGGATTTCAGCTGAAAACCACAATTAGAGCCTGAAACAAGCTGGGAGCGATGTGTGAGAACAAGCAGCTACCCGAGGTCAGTATTGATTTAGGGGACCATTAAGTGGAAAAATTCAGCAAGACCCTCAGGAAACTTCAAAATGGTAAAATGACTGGTGGAGGAAACATTACCAAGAGTGATGTCGAGCAAAATAAACCCTTGTACTTTCCTTATGGTCTTAAGCGTAACACGGAAGGAAAAGAATTCAAAGAGAGAAGAAGAAAAACTAGAAGTATTTCTAGTGCCAGCCGCTGAAGGAGCCCACTAACTGTAAAAGCAGGAGAGGAATTCCCTAAAATTCCTTAACAAGCACACTGTGAAATGACCTGGGGTCATCCCCAGCAATGAATTTTGCATGTGTCCAAAAGTGTCTGGTGAGACACTGGAATCTCAGTTCAGAAAAGGATGGTATTCCCTAGGACACCAGAAATACCCCTGTGATTAATAACAGCTTTTAATATTTAAGTAAAACTTGGATTAGACCATTCAATTTTTAATGGCAGCTGATTTATGAAGATGCAGCACATCCTTAACTTGTATTTCTTTGAGGTTCATCCACTGCATTCCAACACTACTCCTTTCATAAACAGTTATTTTAATAAAAATATACTTAACCAGTCTCACAACTTGAAATTTGGTGGGTTTTGTGTAAAAATCCTCACACAACTTGCTCGTCACTCACAGCTGCAGGAAACCAGTGCTGAGTGTGATGGGCAGCTCCAGAAATTCCAGGAGAGCCATGGTTGGCTTCCCAAATATTCCATTCCAGGGGAGAGTCAGCTTCTCAATTAATTAATAGATTAGAACACTTTAATTCAGCTTTAGAATGTATTTTTTAAATTATTCCTGATATTTGGGATGCATGGCAAACGTTCTTGGCAGAGGAAACAATACTGAAGTGAGAACTTGAGAACATGGAGGAAAAAAATTTGAGGAAGGTGAAGTTTATAAAGAGAGTCCAAGTTTCTGCTGGAGCCAGGCACTGGGAATATTGTGGAGCAGAGCATGTGGCTCTTGGCAGCACTGGAAAACTTTTATCCCAGGATTCCAGCAGCTCATGACGCTGCAGCATTTTTGAGTGGCAATGTTGCCTTCTTGAATTTTTATCTTTATGGAATTTGATGTGGAAAATGGCTGATATGAGCAAAAACTGGACAGGTTCCACTGCTCCTGCTCATCCCTGACACTGCTGGGGTAAAATTCACCTACAGGACTTTTTTGCCTTAAAACATCAGGATAAAAGCCCAGCAAACTCCTGGTGAAGATGATCAATTTTGGGGGGGTTTTAATACAAATCTTTGTGTTTGAAAAAGACAAACCAGGAAAACCTGCTACCTGAAACTATAATTCCGTGTTCAATTTCCAGGTGAAAATTGGAAATGGAAAGTAAGATCCACTGTGGATCTTCCCATGTCATTTCCCAGGGTTCAAATTCCTCTGGATTCAAGTGTAGATGGTAAAATCCCAGTTTAAAAAAAATTCCCAGAAAGCAAAATCCAAACAATACTCAAGGAGTCAGCAAATAAACACTAATTAATTCCACATCAGAGCACAAATCCATCCTCCTGCTTTAACTCCAGCTTCCCATCCCTTTCCTGGGGACGTTTATCTGACCTTTCCCAATGCCTGATGAGCTCAAAAAAAAGGTTAAGGAGAAGAGTAACATGAAAAAGAGTGAACAAAACACACATTCCCCAGTTGTCTGAGGAGGTGGCTGCCCAAAACCACTGGGAATAATTCCAAGGCGGGTCAGAAACCTACAGCAAATGTTTGGAATGAATTCCAGGAAAAATAAAAGTCGGCAAGGCTGGGAATACAAGAGAAATTCCCAAGTGGAATGAGGGCTAAGAGAGGTTGTGGTTGGGATGAAGGGAATTGTTTAGCAGGGATAAATCCAGGGGTTCTGGTATTACACGGATGGAATTCACTGGGAGGTGTAAAAGGAAACCAAATCCCATTCAGGGCTTGCCTAAGTGGTTCTTCCCTGGAGAAACAGCCACATCACACGAGCCCATTCCATCACCCCTCACACATCCAGGGGATGGGGGATCCAGGGGCTTGGGAAGAGCAGCTCCCGTTTTCATGGAAGTGCAGAAGGTTGTGATCCAAGTCCTGTGTAAGGCAAATCCCACTTCTCCCAAGCATCCCTGCCTGCTCCTGTGAAACTGGAATGGTGTTCCAGCTGCAAGGGGGATGTGGGAATGGAAATCCAGTATTTTGGGATACAGGAGACCGACAGGCCTGAGCAGCTGGAGTGGTAACTGCAGCCCAGAGTGGGATAAATGCAATTCCCACTGGGAGAACTTCTCTGCCTCATTGCATTCCCAAAAAACAGCTCTGATTCAGGAAAATCCCGGGTTGGGGTTGTGGGCAGCAGAAAGGAGACCTGAAGGGTCAGCGATGGGAAGAGCCAAGGAAGAAATCTGACAGAGGGGATACACCTAAAATTACATTTGAATTTATCCTGTACATCAGGAATAATTCACATGGAATATTATCCATCCCACTTCCAGCAAATCCCAACAGGACAGAGCAACAAAGGAGCCTAAGGCCAGCCAGAGTTTGATCAAAATCAACAATTAAACAGAGTTTGATCAAATCCTGGAAAAGACTGTGGGACAGGTTTATCATAGGATCCCTTCCCTGCCATTTACTCCTCTTAAAACAAATAATTACCAAAGAAACTGAAAGTACTTATTTGTGTAAGAAGACACTTCACAGGACAATAAAATAGTAAAATAAAAATAAAACCGAAGGAGATTGAGAATTTGCAGTTGTCATCTTTTCCCTATGTAAGTCTTCGAGGGTGGCAAA